TATAAAAATCAAACGTAATTATAACAGTGAAATTTGTATAATCTGTGGTGAAAATTTCCAAAAAGAGACGAAGTGTACATGGATTTAAAAGAAATTGTTCTCAGACCCTTTTATGTAGCTTATAGATAGCAATAAAAAATGTATGTCCTTGATTTTTTCTCATAGATAGTCAATATTTTAGATCATTAAAATTTATTCGCATTTATTGTCTGCATATGCAGACAGCATATTTATGTAGCTAGATATTTAATTTGTGGGAATTTAAAAGCCAACTAGCCCCCTAGCCAATCGAATTGTGCAAATCGTCCTACCAAGAAGATTATTCGCAGTGTGGTGGAGAAATTTGAGTCCATTGATTTAGTAAACGATCAAAACGAAAGATTTGTCGAAAACATCGCCGCTGTCCGTGAAAATGCAAGAGAATCCTAAGCAGTCGATAACAAGAGCTTAAGCTTTCACAAATCATAATTTGGTGAATTTTACCTCGTAATTTGGGCCTGCATTTGTATAAAATTCAACTGACCCAGGAACTGAAAGTAGATAACATGGAGTTCGAATCTAATAACTCAGAATCTAACTGAGCACACCATAGACAACGAGGTGTGTTCGCTGACTGGGCTTTCTACTATTATATTATATATAGTCCATTAGCTATGGACTGGGCTCTGGAGCAGTTAGAAACTGACTCTAATTTTCATCGAAAAATTATCTTCAGTGATGAGGCCTACTTTTGTATACTTAATTGGGTATGCCATCAAACATATTGGTCGAATCTGGGACTACATCAATCTAGATGAGAACCAATAGCGTGCAATGCGTTCTAAAAAGTTACTGTTTGGTTTGGATTTTGGACTGATGGTGTTTTGGTCATTATTTCGATAAAAACGACATTGGCCTAGCCATTACCATCAACAGCGACCAATATAGATTGATAATTACCTTTTTTTATCCTGAATTAGATACTATGTAGTTTTATAGGGGGGTACAATGTGTCACACAGCTCATGTCACATTGGACATTCATTCAGCACGAGTGACTGGATCTGAGACAATATAATCAATTATGGTAGATGTTGTTTTAGTAATTCTTGTAGGAGAATTAAGGTCGATTCAGACACATCAGTCACGTCTCGTCACAGTGATTGCGCCGAACCGAACAATCCGTCATACAAAATATTCTTCAATACAAATATGTTGCCGGCATTCACACTCATCAGTTGACAAACAGTTTCCCAGCTGTCAGATAATTGATAGTTCTGTGACCAAACAGGACCGGTTCGGCGCCGAGACTATGACGGGACTGATGTGTCTGAATCGACCTTTAGCGTGCATTGTGAAACCATACGATTCGAATATATTGACCAAAGATAATTGGGTAGCACAAGCAACAGCATAATTAAGATTCAAATCACCGCATAGAATCTTTCTGCTTTTACTGGACAGGTCGTCTAACAAATTTAACAGGTTCTGAAAAAATAGTTCCGTGGAAGAATCAGGTGATCTATATATGCAAAGAATGTATAGATTAAGATTCTTGTTATAAACCAATGAAAACTCAAAAAAGGATTCATTAAACAGAAAGCCATATTTTCTTATAAGAGAGAAATCATTATTTGTAGAAAAAATTAGGGTGTCACCATGAGCTGAACTTGGACGATCATACCTAGCAATTGTGGTATATTTTTCTAGAAAATAAGTTTTGTTAACTTCAAGCCAGTCCTCAACTGCAACTATCGGGGGAAATCCTAATTCCTCTAGAAACAAAAATAATTCATCTGTTTTATATCTTATAGAACGAATATTAATCAGAACCATGCTAAAATTATCATCACTATAATAATTTGAGGTTTCTAGTCCCACAGAAAACGTCATAACTATGACGTATTCACCCTTGACTTTTCAGCCAACATGTTGGCTGAAAAGATGTGATTATGGAACTTCAAATTCTGATTATTTTATGTGTTTCTGCATTTGTATGTGTTTATGTTGTAAGAGTGTTCGTGTATTGTGTGTTGCGTATGTATTGTGTATGATTCAGAGATATATGAAAGGGAGTACATATCTCTGGTATGATTATAGACGATGCGTCTCATGTTTCTTAATCCGCTACGGTTGGTATATCTTGTTGACTTCTTCTAGTATTGGCAACCATAGCCTGCTACATTCTGCTGGTGGGTTTGCTACACAATTTTTCTTCATTCTTTTAATATTGGCAACCTTACATTCTTCTGGAGGGTTTGCTATACATTTTTCTTCATTCAGTATGATGATGAGTTTCTTTAATTTTTCTTTTTTTCATGTCTGTATTTTTCATGATTATTGACACATCTTTCCATTGTACTCTGTGTTCATTGTCCCAGGCATGTTTGCATATTTGTGAGTTGTCAAAGTATCTATTTTTGATATACGTTTTATGCTCGTTTATCCTGGCACTTAGTGATCTTGATGTTTCTCCCACATGTATTTTATAGATGCGATTCCTAGATCTCTCTTGTGTTGTTAGGTTTGGTTTTGGACAGGATATATAAGAGTGTATTGGTTGTTTTAAATGTGTACTTATTTTCTATCCTTTTTAATTTTTCTGATAAGCCCTTATATACTCATTACATATGGTATTGTTGTCATCCTTAGTTTTTTGTGATTTTTTCTGGATTGCTTGTGGTGTTTTGTTTTCTTTCTTCTTTCCTTGTTTATAAAGTACAATGGGTAATCACTTTCGTTAGGTTTCTTTTCTTTCTAAAAACTTTTTGATTAGAGCAGGTGTTTTGGGCTCTATCGTATTATTTGATACTTCCTTTTTTGATGTTAACGCTGTGATTTGAGTGATAATTTAAATGTTGGTGTGGGTTGGATTTCTGTAATCTATGGTTATATCCCATATCCTCTTTTGTCATTAGCACATCCAGAACAGGAAGTGAATTGTTTTTTTTTTCATAGTGAATTTTATTGATTCTTTTTTATCGTTGATGTCCACTAAGAATTTATTCAATGCTTCTAGTCCATGGGGCCAATGTTTTGTTAGAAATCCTCCATGAATGTATCTGCTAATAATGGAGTTATTATGGAATGAAACACGTACGTTAAAAACACCCGAAACTGTTGGGTGATAAGATGTGATTGCTTATTCCGGGAATCACTCGGCTCCTACAACCAATCTGTATGACATAAATGTTAATAAAAAATGTACACAAACAATAATCAATATTTATTAAAAGATAATTACACTGAAAACTTACAATTAACACAAATATAATTATGTACATAATTTTACTCTTAAAGATATAATTATTTTTCGTGATTATCATAGCAAATATATTAAAAAACAGAATGATATTAAATTGCAAAATTGAATACATAAAACTTAAAAACAAGTACATAAAAACTGATAACAGTTTCGGATTCAGAATTAGAATTGATGTTCACGTTCCAATGGTATATTGCTGCATCCTTCCAGTGCTACTGTATGAATGGAGGCTATGCTTAAACACTTGGAAGCCTCTGAGATGTGGGGATACAGACGACTACTAACAATAAACTAGGTTGAAAGAGTTAGAAATGACGCCTGCACCAAACAAAACAACTTGTCAATACAATAAAGAGATGCAAGCTGGAATACTTAGGTCATACTATGAGACACCCCGAAAAATATGAACTTTTACCTCTGATCATTCAGGGAAAGATCCAAGGTACACGTGGGCTTGGTAGAAGAACATCATGGCTGAAAAATATTTCTTATAAAATGTTATGATGTTAAAGTTACCGTTGGATTAGGTAACATGGCGAACAACATTTTATAAGAAATATTGTAAACCAAATGTAACTAATTATTAGTTAACGGTTTTTTACCCATATATTTAGTGGCTACATTCATGTACTCCTAGACACTGATGATGGAATATGGATTCCGAAAACGTTTTGTCTAACATAGCCCGTTTGGTTTTTTAAATATATACCTTTTACAAAGGGTTTTAATAAATTTTTTTTAATATATGGTATACAGCCAACTACAGGAACATAGATTCCTTGTGAATTTATTGGTTTATTTTGTTCAAACAAATAAAATATTTCCATTAAATTTTAGTCAACAAATCTAATGCGATCCAAAAATGTTATGTGGCCCTCGTTTTAGCATCAGATGACTTATTGAATTTAACTCATCAAGATATATTGATGATGGTGATTCCCCCACATGCCGAATACTAATGTCGTGGCATAAGAAATACAGTTGAAAGATTCTAAAGGTGTGTGTGGGGGATGGCGCGTATGCGCAGCATTATAGTCGGTGTATGACAGAGAAAATATTAAAAATAATGAAATAACAAATTTGACGTAAAATTTGATATTTCAATATTTCGAATACTTTCTCTGTCATATACCAACTATAATGCTGAGCATAAACGCCATCCCCACTGGTACCTTTAGAATCTTTTAACTGTACTTTATTGAACATTTATGCACAGTCGATATATAGCAATAAAATCACCGAAAAACAAATTCTACGGCATTTCTATGTTTACATAAAACAATTTAATTTTTATGAGGTGGAAGTCGAACATATTTTTAATTATAGTTGTGCTTAATTCTCAATAAATATTGTAGATCAATAAGAAAAGTAATGTTATGATAATCACGAAAATTAAATTAAATAATTCTTACAATTAAACCTTTTCCACACTTAAACCTAAAATACATATAATTCTATAATAAGATATATAATTTCACTGTATCACAAATGAGTATTCGAATAAAATTTATTGAATAGTAGTCACTATACTTAAAAATATGTATAAAGAGCTTGTTCCGAAAGGGTTTTTAATTTGAAATTGGGATTTTGGAGCTCGAAAGCGCTTGGAATTGCGAAAACTTTTTTGTAGCATTTGCAAATGACTCGCTTGTATGACAAATTTATTTCAAAACTGCTGACGGCTGAGCAGAGAGAGATTCGCTCAGAAGTCACGTTGGATAACTTGGAAATTCTTGCTAATCCTAAAAATATGTTTAAAAATATTTACCAGTGACAAGTTGTGGGTGTACGGGTATGATCCGGAAATGTTTTCGCAATGAAAACTTCTACATGAGAGCCCATGTTGTTTTTTAAAAAATAGGTAATCAACAAAAAAAAAATAAGTTTGAGTTCTAAAACGATTACGTGACGCAGTGGGAACAGACGATCCCATTTTAGGGAGAGCTGCGACTTATTTCTGCATTGCGTAACCCATTCATCTAATCGTTTACAACAGTTCTCGGCAAAATTCACTGAACATTGTATTTTGAGATAGAGCACTGACATTTACTACAAAAAATAGATTACAGAACCACTTAGACGTACTTAAAGCACCGATGGGTGCGTATTGCTAAGCCAAATTGCGATTACTGCGAAGGTTCATGCGGATCATACTTATTATATGGATTATACTCATGGATCAATTAATTTTGGGACAGACCTCGTAACATGACCATTGGAGCGATAAAATGTTCAAAATGACTAAAACAATTCTTAAAATACATATTACCAAAGTATAGTGGCTACCATAGCAGCAAATCAAAATTAAAGTTTAAATGCATGTCAAGCGTGTTTTTAAACTAAAAACGCTTTTTGAAATAGTATATGTCATTTCCTTTAGAAGCATGTCGTTTCTGGCAATCAATACAACTAATAAAATTACTACTATCAAAATTATAAAGAAGCTTTAAGCAACATAGATACACAAACCACGCAGACAAATTGAAGAAAGGGACGGATGAGGTTAAAATCTTTCTTAACCTTAATCAGACTAAGCATAATCTTAAAAATTAATCGAAAATCCGTGTAAATCCTTAAACATTGACCGGTTTATCCTGAATTAGCCCAGTACTGGCTATTGCTAATAGATGGCGCGTGCTGGAACCGCTTGTATAACTGTCACCGCTGCTACGCATACTTGCGTGCGACATGGGAGTCCCCGGTAGGCGTTGAGGAGTACTTTCCACGGAACTGGTGTTAGTTCCTTCGTACAAGGGCGCTGAAGACGGCGCTGGTTCGTCAGGGGTGTAATAATCAGATTCATCACCTCGTTCACCTATAAATATGTAAGTAAATTACAAAAATTATAAATGTCAATAAATAATGTTCTTATTATGAAAATGAAAGCTTTTCACGAGAACCATTCACATATAAAGTGGACCTTTATAAGTATAGGTAAGAATAACATTTGTCTGTTCCGGTCCTTCGCGATAAGTTCGACAGGACAAGCTAAAGACCACTCAATGGAGTGTGGTAACTACCACCGCTCATACATCTTATCACGTCAATTGAAAGCCAACCTCAGGAGATAAACTGTTATTATAAAACAACCGAAGGATCAAATCTGCGGCAAAAAACTCAGAAGCTGAAGATTCCTCTCATTAATACTAATGATTTCCTAGCGGGTTGAACGACCTCAAATTGTAAGAATGCATTACTACTACATGTGGAGCTGTGTCGTATTATTCTCTATTATATATTATTCTCTAGCTGCTCGTAAGATCTACATGAAGGATTAGCAAAAAATACCTGTAAATAAAGATACACCGTATTTTTTGGTGTAGAATTGTATGATGTTTAAGTTCACTTGGAGTTTTGATTAATAGTTCTACCCTTAAAACAGTTATATTGAATAATACTTCTTACGAATCTTATAACTAGATCCCTCTATGAAAGTCAGATATAAAAATAAATTCATGGGATGTATCAGCTTCTAAAACATATTCGTAGAAAATTTTATTATAATGTTGCCAATAGTTTCGGCAAAATCGTAAAAAATGTGTAAGGTTTTTTTTTTCTTCAACGCCCTTATCTTGAAAACGGATGACGTTTCAAAAATTTTTTAATAAGCAAACCCCAATTATTTTCAGGTTTTTATATATCCTCGTGTAGCAGTTATCACGCTGCTTATACAATTTGTTTATACAATTTTATCATCCCATATATTGGTTTTTTATTCCAAAGCCAATCCTAAGTGTAGAAAAGCTAGCCCGAATTCTCCCTTGAGATTTGGTGTCTCTCTGGCTCTTTACATTGATTCCTCTGAGCTAAATCATTCTTTATGAGTACATTCAATAACTTCACTCCAAATTCTCCTTATTGTAAATTCTTGTTCCTAAATTACAATACCCCGGAGTATTGGGTTTTCACTAGACACGTTGTCATCTTTTTTGAAACACCCTGTATACGCTAAAACTTAAGAGCTGGATCCGCAAAAACAGGTCATAGTTTTTAAATAGAACTGAACTTGGAATAGAACTTGGACTTATTAGTCATCGCGCTAAAATTTGACACAAGATTGTAAATACGAACAAAAAAACAAGCTGTCACAATATAAATTCAACAAAAACGCATTTTTAACGTCTAATTTTATACTATCTTATAACAAAATCCTTAAAAAGTGACAGTTTTCAATGATATGGTAAAATAAATAAAAAAAACACATGTATAGCAAAATAAAACAAAAGTTTTATTTTTTTTGTTTTAATACGTAAATCTTACCGTAAGTCTTAGTTTTTTCAGAAGTATTACGGGTCTCTTCTTGGTCAGTATCAGCATCATCGATCGCATCTACTACATCTTCCATATTCAGTGCTAAATTATTACCATTACTCTTGTTAGATCTGTCGATTTTTTGTAAGAGTGGAGATAATTTTTCAGTTTCGCTGTCTTCGTCTACATTCTGGAAATTAAATAGGATATCAAACATAAAAATCTATGTACAATTACGTGTTCAAAAAGCGTGTCCTTTAATAAGTTTTCTTGCCGTGTGGATTTCTCCAGCGGCTTACGTTTGTGTTGTCCTAAATGTTTCTTGCCGTGTAAACTTCTCCAGCGACCTACGTTGTCATTTTTCGAGTGTGGCCCCAAATATTTACTTCGTTCTACCATCCAAGCGGTGAAGTGTTTCTTTTTAATAAAGACAACAAATAATATGGACAAATGCTTAATTATTTTTATCTAATTTAATTAATAAAGGTGCATCATGAATAACATATATTTTTATTTGTAAATATCATAAATATGTTAAATTGTAAACTGTTATTGAAAATTAACATGCCGGTAAGAAATAAGATGAGCTCATCTCTATGTAATGTAGAAATGTACGTATATTTTAATTAAAGGTTAATTCGATATATTATTTAGCTAAGATACTAAAGATATATGTTCGTTTTTTGATAATAGTAATTGTTTAACTATACAAATGTTATTTTGGACTAAGCAAGCAGCTAAAAAACAGAAATTTAAGCCAGAAAACCAAACTAATAATATATCGAACACTCATCCTACCAGTGCTGACATATGGGTCAGGAACATGGACCATCTCCAAAACAGACGCAAATCTTCTGCTCGTCTTCGAAAGGAAGATACTAAGAAGAATAATGGGCGCATTCTATGAGAATGGTATTTGCAGAAGGCGATATAATTTCGAATTGTACGAAAAGTATAAAAAAATAGTAAATGGTAGAGATGTAATATCCTTCATAAAAATAGGTAGGCTTAGATGGGCTGGACATGTGTCAAGAGCAAATGAAAATTACCCACCCAGACGAACTCTATTATCGGTCCCAGTGGGAAATAGGAGTAGAGGCAGACCACGACTGAGATGGAGGGACGGTGTGGACGAGGACGCAAGGAAGATCGGCGCGGCAAATTGGCAACGGTTGGCGATGAACAGAAACGACTGGCGAAATAGATTGGGGAAGGTCAAGGCTCAACTAGAGCTGTAGCACCACTGATGATGATGAATTGTTTAACTATAAGACAAACTATATAACTTGTTAATTTTTTTTACGTAAAGAATATAATAAATTTCCTTTTGTGTGTGGTAGTATATATACTTTTTTATATTATTATTTAAGTTTCCCAATAGATCCTTTAAAAATTCGGGCGATGCCCAAAAATTATCTTTTATACCTAAAGCTTGGGTTATTTTGGGATTATATTATTTACATCTCATATTTTTTTGGTAATATCTTTTCTAACGAACCTCTCCACTACATACCTCTTCCATACTGAGCAACCGAGGATGCATTCTTTATTTGTGTGCACCTACAGAGTGATCTAGTCTTCCTCCCACTTTAGTAACCATTAAGTGTCACATTGTTCGTATTTTTTTTTCTTGTTAGGTATTTGTTCAAAAACCAGATTAAATAGTGTTGGAAGGATAGGGTCGCTCTTTGATATGTATTAAACTTCTGCTATTTCTCCTTGAAACTTCACTGTTATATCTGTTTTAAGTGTTATTTCTGTCAGTTTCCTTAGTTTGTTTGATATATGTAGATCCTTTAATGAGGCCTCGTCTGTCTTTATCGTGTCGAAGTCGCTTTTAAAGTCAATAAGTATTAAATGGTCTAAATCCATTTTGGTATTCTCCTCATTTTTTTTTCTCTATAGTTTTTGATTTTCTTATTTATTATATTTGCCAATATTTTGTATATATACTGATCTTTTTTTTTTCAGTTAAGTACGGACTTGTACAGTTGTGCCATGTCGGCCCCGAACGCTGCCAATGGCACTACTGTCCATGGTTCCGGCTCGAAGGACCATTTTTTTTAATTAGAAAGTACTAATATTCAAAAATTTATCAAAATTAAAACTTATTAATGATTATAGACAAATTTAAATTAAGAAAAGTTACTTACTACATCCTTTTCGGCTTTCTCGTTAACCAGTCTTACATCATCTCTCTTTCTTCTTCTATCTACCTCCTTTTCCAACAACGGCAACTTTCCATCTTTGTTTTTATCCTCTTCCTCTATTCTCCTTGTAGCTACCATGCTTACCTCTCGTGTGTAATCTGGACTAGGTGGAGAGTCTAGACTGCCTCCTCGTTTTTTCGTCGGTGTACTACGATCACATTGCCTAGGAAATGCGAATAATAAAAATATACATACTAAGGTAATGGTTAGATGTTCTAATATATTTTTAAAAAATTATAATTTCAAGGGATCAAAAAGAATTTAAAATTTAAATAATACGAAAAATAGTTATAAATAACCCCGCTGCCACTTTTATATTGCTAAATCTCTAAATACTAAGCCTACTTCAAGATGAGTACAAACAAACAAAACGTCAGTATAATAAAATGCTTGTGGATACATGAAAAATGCAGTATGGGCAAGAAATATATAATAGTCAAAATAAGTCAAAAAGTCTATGGAAAATCGTTAAAGAAATCACACAGGTAAATTCTATCGATAATAATGTAGCAATACTAGGAAATCCAGTCATAGTAAGTAATAATTTTAATGAATATTTTTTAAAAGCTGCTACACATCTTTTAGAAAATATACCAAAAATAGAATTCAGCACCAAAATACAGTTTAACAAAAACTCATTTTTTCTAACGTCAGTAACTATAAATGAAGTAATTAAATTAACTAGAAAATTAAAAAATAAATTAACTTCAGGTTATGATGGGCTACCTACAAATATAATAAAACTGTGTGCATATGAGCTAGCTATACCATTATTTCATATAATAAACAATACCTTCATAAATGGGATATTTCCAGACAACTTAAACATAGCTGTAGTAAAACCAGTGTATAAAAAAGGTGATGCCACTTTACTAGAAAATTATTGTCCAGTAAGCCTCTTACTATCATTCTCTAAGGTTTTTGAAACAGACAAGTTTGTCAGGCTTCTCAGGTTTTTCTATAGTGAGGGACTGTTACGCCATACACAACATGGGTACACAACAACCTTAAGGAAAAATCTATAGAGACTGCCATTTATGATTTTATAACAAAGATAAATAAGGGTTATGAAAACAAAGATATATCCATATGCATATTTTAGATTTATCAAAGGCATCTGATACTTTAAATCACAAAATACTAATGGAAAAGCTTTACAAATATGGCATTAGAGGGTCAGATTATAATTGGATAAAATCATACCTATCAAACAAAAAACAGAAAGTAAAATTTGAGTATGAGGGAAGAAATTGCTTCTCTAATGAAGGTCTCATTTCGGTGGGAATTCCTCAGGGAAGTATTATGGGTCCTCTTCTCTTTGTTTTTTATGTAAATGATTTAGCGTTAGACATTACAGATAACAATTACAATACTCTTATTGTGGAATTTGCAGATGATACTAAAATTTTAACTATAGGGTCATCCTTGAATAATTTATTGACTAATAATAGATTAGATAAAGCACAGAGATGGCTCAAAATGAATAACCTCATACTTAACAGAGAAAAAACAAATTTCGTCACTAAAACAAATAAAAGTACCTTATCAGAAACTGTCTCAATTCAATTGCAAATGGTTACTCTAAACCAAAGCATAAAATTTATGGGGGTACATATTGACTAAAATTTAGATTTTGGAGTGCATATAAATGAGAACTTAACAGGTTAGCACCTATCTGCTACTCGTTCAGAATAAAAGCAAATTATTTGGACAAAAAATGTAAACAAGTTGTATATTTTTCAAATTTTCATTCTGTAATACGATTTGGAATAGTTTTCTGGAGGGGAAGTGGTAATGCTGAACAGGTTTTCATATTACAAAAAAGAGCAATCACAACTCTACTTAACTCCCTAAATACAGGGATTCATGTAGAGGTAATTTCAAAAAGTTAAACAAACTAACAATGGCTGAAACATACATATATGAATGTTTACTTTTCATTTTTAAAAATAGAGAAATTCTTGAAACACATAACAAACCATAATACTAATAGACGAAACAATATCATAAACTATACTATACCAATACATAGACTAACAGCATTTGAGAAAACCAGAGAATATGCCTGTATTACATTCTTTACTAAACTGCCTTGCAGCATCAAAATAGGAACTGACATAAATATAGAAAGCCTGTTCAGCAGTTGCTCATACACCTCGAACCATACAAAGTGAAAGAATACCTTCAATCTGACCTGTATTATTATATTTTAATATTACTTTTATGTTAAGTGTAGGTTGTTATAGTAACCATTATAAATTGTAATTGACACCATTCTCTCTATTGACAATTTATATTTGTGTGTAACTTGTGAATCCTGAGAATAAATCTTTTTTCTATTCTATTCTACTTGATCATGCTTTCTTTTTTTTTAATATATTTTATTGTGGACATACAAGCATCTTAATTTCATTATATTAAGCAGAAAAAGAGGGGTAATATAAAAAATAATTCGAGAATATTGTCTTACATGCAAAAATAATTATCAAACGAACCTTAGAATATATTTAGAATGGCAAAAAAATGTTACCTGTTTAAAATTTGGGCGGCTTGTATGGCATGTTCATTTTCTGGTGTTTCGACTAAATCAGGCATAGCAGCGGAGGGTGGTTGACGAGGCGCGCAAGGACCGTTCAACGCCTCTATAAGGGACACAGCTTCATAACCGGGAGGGATATTGTCGCAACTGCCCTAGAGTTAATAAATTGTGAATATAAAAAATAATTTTCTATATGATTAGTGCACATAAGTACAAGCCATTCAATAGTCAAAATTACTAATTTCCTCCACTCTTGTCAGTTTCGTATAGCAAATGATTTATTGAGGGGTGTTTCATTATTCAACCTGTCTTATAACATTTTCCAAGATATAGTGTATTGTGTTTGCATCTCCAAAGAGTGCTGAGTGTTTCGTAACCACCATGTACTTTATTTTTCTTCATTGACCTTAACACCAACTTCTTTGGCCCAGTTTTTAAAGAAATTGAAAACTTCCTTTTATATCTTTCGTTATTGTGCAATTCTATTAGCATCATCAACAAAAGCTAGCAATACCTTAGATCCCTACGTAGCAAAGCAAGTTGTCAATTTTGGCTGTGCTTTTCTAATTACATAATATTGTGGGAAGTAAAATATTAACAGGAAAAGAGATAAACGTATTAAATTTTAAAACCTCTTTTTCTTATGATTTTTTGACCAGTTTCAAATAATATACCAACAGAAATACTCATATCTCGGTTATTTGATAACCAATTGTATATGTATCAATTTTTTTCTCATATATGGTGCATAAGACCTGCAATAGACGAGATGAGAAACATTTCCATTCATATATAGAAGACTCACAACAATTTTTCAGTTAGTATGCTAGCAGGTATTTGAAACAATTCAAACAAAAACAAATCTAATACCTACAATAACATTCGTCATACATTTCTTTAAAAGTCACTTGAATATTTTCACTAAAACATCAAAATCTAGTAATAATGATGAAATTAAATTTATTAACTACTTACGTCTGGTGGGCTAATAGCAGCTAGGTTCGAATTAGAACATTTCTGCAACGCTCTTATCTGCAGCAAAGCTCTGAAGGGTGCTCTGCATATGGGGCAATTATTTGCCTGATATCTCAGGGAATCAGCACAAGAATTACATAAACAGAGGTGGCGGCAAGGAAGGATCAAAGTATCCCGGACATCGCACATACATATGACACATTCTGAACCATTGTCTTCAGTCTCATCATCAGCTCCAGCCTAAAATTATTATATAGTTATAATGATAATGATGTCTTGTAGAATCATACAAAAACTCATGGAATAATTCACAGGAATCATTTAGTTTGCATTCATCCACTGGCGTGTCCACAAGGTGTTTGTTACTCTTAAATGTTGTGTTATCTGCTTTTTGGATAGATAAACGCTCCTCAGTCTTTCATTATCATTACCACTGAAATAGATCCTTTTGAAATCTGTGCTACGAGTGTTATCATAATATACTTGTGAAACCATAAATAAAATATTCTCTTCTTGCCAATAATGAAATTTTAAAGGTTATTTCAACGCTTTCAGCTTTCAAGCTGATTTCAACTAGTTTCCAAGATAAATTTAGGTTATGCTTTTGTAACTGTTATAAATATAATAAGGCTTCCGTAATACTATTAGCACAACTGACATATAATTGATATATCAAAATATATAGGACATAATGACTTGCCCATTTCCTTATTATATGCTTTTCTATTTTATTCTATATATTATATCTAACAACCCAAAAATTCCTTAATGAATTAGTGTCATTATCTGTGTGTCTTTACGAGAACACTGAAGACAATTAAATATCATTTATATCTAATGATTATACAGATACTTGATAATGAATGTAATAGGGAAAGCAGTTCCATCAAATGGTTACCTAAGAGTTATTATTGGACTTCCTTCTGATACCAGCATAATATAGTCATAATTTAACTAATTTGTGTATAAATAGAACCTAAGAATGTTAAAATTTTAATATTAAAAGCAATTTAGGATTTTGACTCACTTTTTCATTATTTTTATTTTCAATTCCATAAATTTCCTGCAGCAAATAACATAAACCATCAACAAATAGTTTTTGCTTCAAAGCCTTCAGCAGATATGTTCCATCAGTGATTTTTTCTACAGTAGCAATGGTAGTATGACTCTGTCTCATTTCTGCTGAAACAAGGACATTAAAAAAACAACAAAACTAAACAATATCAACAAAAAATTAAAAGAAGGTAAATAATAGTTGTTTGTATTTATAAAATTGGGTTGGTATGTATGTACTCTTAGTTTTTTTGACTGTGGACTTAATCCACTAGTCTAATTCATATTAAAACCACCAATCAGTGATTTTTCCCTATCCTACTATTCTTATATGATCTGATACCAACCAATATGTATTTTAAGATAATTGTTCAATCTCATATCACAAACTCAATATTCCAGTCAACAAGGAATTCAAACTCAAAAGCTCTAATTCTAAATCAGTAACCAACTACACTATAATGTTGCAGTATAAATAATATTTTATTTTTTTACATTCTTATCTATATCTATTTATAATTTTTACCTGGCCCTTCTTCAGTAACACAGTGAATAGCAATTGGAATTATCTCTCTATCTACATCAAACAGCAGTTCATCTTCGTTATATTTAGCTGGATTAAATACATGAGCTGGTTGACAAAATTGTTGATTAGAACCTCTGCTATAATGAAAAGTCTCTGATGTTATTGACGGATCTTTTGGAATGTAACTAAAAAAAAAAATAATGAAGTAACAATAACCAATGTTGGGAGATTTTTACTTACGCCACACCATTTGGGGTAAAATCTTCAGTACAGAAATAATATACTGTTATTGCACATCTGACATCACAGTCAAAAGTAAATTCAATGTTAAATGATGTGTTTGTACCCAATTCAACATCTCTATATTCACATTTATCAATATTTAATTTACTATAATCATTACTGGTCCTAACAAATCTTAGAGACTCTTTTCTAATGTTAACAAGACATTTTAAAGTCTTTGTAGGCTCATTTGGTTGAGGTGGAGGATATGGAAACTAAAAAATATTTACATGTGATATGCTAAACAAACTTATTACCGGTGACCCTGAAAATTAAATTAAAAAACAGTGTAATACTTACTGGAGTTGGTCTACTTCCTAAAAAGTTGAGATCAGAATTTTCTCCAAAGAGATAAGATTCAGGTTGTGGCGTGTCGAATCTTTCTCCTCCCATAATAAAATGACTACCGAAGTAATTACCTGTAAAATATACATAATCAGTTTATTTAATTGGTAAATACTAATGTTAACATACCAGATCTGGGTGGATACTTGTAGGCATGATTGGAAGAAATATCAATTTCTTCTACACCATCGTGTTGTCTGGTTGTTAATAAAGCTCCCATTTTTACAGTAAAGATAATAATGTACGGGTACTGAGTTTTGTTAATTTAAAATAACATATTTCAAAATATTTACTAAAATTTTGATTTGACAAATAAGTGTCAAAGTAAATGACATGACGAATGACGACCTATTGTCAACATTCTTTGACTTGACATTGACATCTCGACTTCTCGAAGCGCTGATACAGAACACGACCATTATAAAACTATCAGCTAAAGTCCGTTTTACAGCTTGCAATTTTACCTGCAAGACGCAAGAAAGTTGCCCAAAGGCATGCGCAGTATGTCGTCAGCTGATTATTGCCTGCAACTTATTGCAGTTGCGCGATAATCGGTTTGGTGCCATTTTCTGTGCAAGTTTTCATGCAAGTCTAGGGGAATTTGTAGGAAGTTTGATTTTTTCACAATGTCAAATGTCATAATCACTGATTGACACGGAGACATGCCGATCAGCTGTTTCCTGTTTTGTTTATTATTTCCTTTCCCACACATTTGTATTTAGCTTGGCTTGATTTGTAGATTATCGGCTTTTTCTAATTTTAATATTTTTAATTAATACGTTAGAGTATCATCAAAAATTGAACTATCTTCTGCCCGAAGTACCAACAATGTCTTGCATAGTCTTGGCATTACGAAATTTACTATCTATCTATCTAAATCAATCTATCTATTGAAATTAATTCTAAATATATCATTCTAAATTCTAATCTAAATCTATCGAAATTAATTCTAAATCTATCTATCGAAATTAATTCAATCTATCTATCAAACTAAATCGACTAAAGTGTTTTAAATAAACAAGTAATTAAAAAAAATCATAAATAAGTTAGGTTAAGAGTAAAAATTTCAACATTAATTGCAAGCTGTAAAGTCGCACATAAAGACCCTGCAATAAATTGCATGAAAGTTAGTCATGCAAGAAGTTGCAGCAAGTTTTCTTGCAAGCTGTAAAGCGGTCTTAAAAGTCCGTTTGCTTGCAATTTTACCTGCAAGACGCAAGAAAGTTGCCCAAAGGCATGCGCAGTATGTCGTCAGCTGATTATTGCCTGCAACTTATTGCAGTTGCGCGATAATCGGTTTGGTGCCATTTTCTGTGCAAGTTTTCATGCAAGTCTAGGGGAAGTTGTAGGAAGTTTGATTTTTTCACAATGTCAAATGTCATAATCACTGATTGACACGGAGACATGCCGATCAGCTGTTTCCTGTTTTGTTTATTTTTTCCTTTCCCGCACAACACACATTTGTATTTAGCTTGGCTTGATTTGTAGATTATCGGCTTTTTCTAATTTTAATATTTTTAATTAATACGTTAGAGTATCATCAAAATTGAACTATCTTCTGCCCGAAGTATCAACAATGTCTTGCATAGTCTTGGCATTACGAAATTTACTATCTATCTATCTAAATCAATCTATATCTATTGAAATTAATTCTAAATATATCATTCTAAATTCTAATCTAAATCTATCGAAATTAATTCTAAATCTATCTATCGAAATTAATTCAATCTATCTATCAAACTAAATCGACTAAAGTGTTTTAAATAAACAAGTAATTAAAAAAAAATCATAAATAAGTTAGGTTAAGAGTAAAAATTTCAACATTAATTGCAAACTGTAAAGTCGCACATAAAGACCCTGCAATAAATTGCATGAAAGTTAGTCATGCAAGAAGTTGCAGCAAGTTTTCTTGCAAGCTGTAAAGCGGTCTTAAAAAAAATATTGTGTATATCTGTTCCGTATATACTATGTTTAAACCATAGAGAAATAAAAATAAAAATCAGGATCTACAATTTAGCTTGCCAGGATTATTTTTTAGAAATTATGAAAAATCATTCATTCAATTAGTCCAATTCATTAAAATATTATAAAGTTAAATGTGATAAATATTGGTGTTTGGCAGTGTTGAAATTTACATTACAAATGAAACATATACAATTAAAAGCAATAATATATTTAAAAAGTAATAATTTAAAATTAACAAAATAAGAAAAAGTTTTAAAACAGTTTTTAAAAGTAAATACTAAAATGTTAGCATAAATACTAAAGTTTAAAAGTAATCTATTGCAATTTGCAATCATAGACATAATATACAATTATATTAACATTGTTAAATATAATAACATAAATAAATTAAACATAAATATAAACAATGGACCACAGGAGTGATGACGTATATTTGATTGACATCTGCCAGTTTCACTTTCCAAACAAACGTTGTTTAGTGTGGTTAATTTGTATTTTTCGTGATTTTTTCATTTATTTTATAGAATCTTTCCGCTTTTTGCAAAATTTAAGTATTCTAATAGTTACTACATCAATTTTACAAGGTTGTGTAAATAATAAAGCACATTGTTTTATGCTAATAGGAATAAAATGAAAGTATCAATAAAGTAAGGTTAAAATTTCTTTAATTAAACTTTTAAACCATATTTCATAGAAATAGAACTCTGAATTATGACGGTATTATCGTAAAAACACTATACTTACAAGAAAAAGCAGCAGAGGAAGCAAAATGTTAACTTTATAGGAATTAAAAAGTCTTGAGATTTGACATTTCAACGTTTGTTTGGAAAGTAATAATGACATGTGACGTCACACTCCTGCGGTCCATTACATAACTTCACAAATCATATCGATGGCTTAATCTGCAGAAAAGCTAACTCCATTTTGACAAATTTTTCAGGAGGAACATAAAACTGTTTAGTTCATGAATAATTATACTTACGGTTAAGTATTCAATCTTAATTCTTTCTTTTGATGCTTGGTGTTAATAATAATTAATCAAAAATGAATTTGTTTGACCTAAAACTTCTTTTTTGCGCCATAAAAGGAGTTAGCTTTTTTACATATTAAGTAAGAAATTAAAAAAAGGAGTTAGCCCGATTTTTGCACATCTTTTAAAACAAAGCAAAGAACTTAAATTCAAAAATATCAAGAAAAAATAAAATATTAGAGTAGGTATAAAAAATTAGATTATTTAAAAAAGATTTATTTATGAGGTAGATAAAATATTACAGTATAAAAAATTAGATTGTTAAAAAAATATTTATTTATGAGGTAGATTGTTGTAGTAGGAATGATAATCAGTTGGGATGCAGATTTTTAGGTCTTGAAGATCTTGGAACTTTCTGATGGTTAGTGGCAATCTATCAGAATGCAAGTTCGGCAGCTGAGCAAACTCCTTTGGATTAGTCATTTTTTCACGCCGTTGGGGAAGTAACTTCCATTCTTCTTCAAAATTTACTTTATAAAACACGTCACCATTTGCCGTATATTTCAGGGCCCTGATTTCATTAACCTTTAAAAAAATTTTTAAATATTTACTACCCTACCTATCAAAGGTGAAAAAAAAAATTTACCTTGAGATCCCCCTTCATTTTTCCAGGTCGAATGGATTTAAGAAATTTGACATCATCAAACGACTTAAAGAACGAATGTTCTAAATATTCAACGTTGTATGGTTTTGGATTTTTACGAGCACTTCGGCAAATACCAATGTATTCAGCAGGTATATTAATAATCTTATTTCGAAGTTTTTTTTCGATGGAGGCATGCATAGAATCTACCTCCATCTGTGTGTGGCCTACTTCAAGGTACTTCTGTTCAATAACGATGTTTCTGGTCATCGCCACATTTATCAAAGCATTTGAGGCCGTAACGTTTCGATTTTGCGCTGCGCATCCGTCGCTGTAAATCACTACTTTTTTGTCTCTGGTGTCCAAGATTTGTGGTAGAACTTTATCTATAAGAAAGTATGAAATCACAGAAGCAAATTCTTCAGCGGAAACTCCACCTTCTGTCTCATTCCATAAAAAGCAGTATGCTTCCTTAGTTTTTAAATCCAATGCACAAAAATTATGCACATTAAGTTTAGATTTGTAATACAGTGATGATACATTAGATTTTGGTGCTGATAGCAGAGCCTGAACATCAACTGCAAATACGTAATCTTCTCGGTTTTTATCCTTTTCTTTTTCAGCACGAGCCTGCTCTTTTCTTGTTGTGTGTTTCTTGTATTCCTCTTCAGATACAAAACCCAATTTATATGACATGCATTTTTCGCATGCGTCTTTTTTTGGATGAAATAATGATATGTTTTCCGTATCTAAAGTGTTATTAAATTTTGCCACTGATACAGGCAATACGTTGTTTGTAGAACACCAGTCCGAAACATAATAATCATAAAGCGACTTTTTCGATGTCCATTCGGGTAAGAGATAATATTTCGACGTGTCCTTACGACAGTAATGTGATTCCATTTTAGGTAACCTATTAAGGTATGTTTTTAAGGAATCAACCTGATTTTGAAATGGATTATTTCGAACCTTTTTTGTAGCGGCTATTTCGGTAGCGGAGTGATTGCTTTCTCTTGAAACTGCAAAGTTTTCTTTTGAGCACTGTTTCCAGTTCCAAACAGCCGTTTTGCCTATGTCCAGCGTATTTAAAAACATGGTTTTGCAGACCCGAAATAAGTTATCATTAAATTTTAGATGATAGTACATTGAATGCGATCTTCTTGATAATGATGTGTCTTTTCTACCTCTTGGTCTATTGGTGGGTATCATTTTTACAAGGCCGTCAACATAAATTTTCTTTTCTCCCCAGTTTAATAGCCAAAAACTATCAAATATTTGTTTCCTGGCTTCATCTGATATTTTGGGACATTTAAGAACACCATTTAGCGACGAACATGAACAACGAGCTTTCATTTTTCTTGCAATTCTTGGCACTTTGTTGTCCCACTTGTTATCTTGTTTTTTTCTACCAAAATAGTCTTGACCTTTTTCTCTTTTTTTAGCATTGCAGCGATCAAGCCATTGTTTCGCATTTACCTGGCATCTCTTTCTCCTTTTTACTTTCTGGTTCTCTGGCTCGCCTAAGGAATAGTCAGAATCAGTGTAATCGCTGTCAGAGTAGGATACCAAGGGTTTACCTACATGCTTTTCATTACTTAACTGCATTTTAGTAATTGTGGCACCTAAACAGCTTACTGGTTGTACTTTAACTGGTGAAAGATTTGGTTGTTCTATAATTGGCTCACTGGCTTCAACAGGAAACGACACAATAAAATTTCCCATACTATTGCTTGGTTGAAGAAAGGAAATATCTGGTGAATGTAGTAGGCCTAAATTGTCTGGTTCAGGAAGAATGCTTAATATATTTTCTTGTGATTCTACATTAATGAGTTCATTTTCTGTTCTGCCTTCAAAAACTTCCGGTAGGTAAGTTGCTCGTAGGGGAGAATTTATTACATCCAATTTATTAGGGAAAGGATTGTCCACCCTGTTATCTAGAAATATTATAGGCATGTCGCAAATTGCAGTTAAGTCAGTTATCATAGGTTCATCAAAGTCTGACTCGATTTCCCACTTTTCTCTTGCTAATTTTAAAATTTTGTCCGAACGCGACATCTGCAAAAAAACATGTTATATAAATACCCACCCATTAAAATTTCTGTTTGTAATTTAAACTAAATTATAAATTTAATTGTATGTCCGAGAATTAATAATTTTATATAATGAATAGGCTGATAAACTTTTTCTAGACACTTTCCTATTTAAAATGGCCAGTTAATATTTTATTAATAAAGTTTGTTTGGAATAAAAGTGTACATATATTTTAAGTTGTTCATTTTACCTATAAATTACCATTTGTATGCAATAGGACTAATAAATTAAAAAATATATTTAACATCTTTGAAAATTAATGAAGCCACAAAAAAGTTAACTCCATTCAAATGGTTCAACTTATTAAATTCATTTCCCTGTAAATCAGCTAACTCCAAAACAGACTGTTTGATCGATTTTAAAAGATTTTATTTAATTACATATTAAAATTTTTAGCTTACAAAAGAAACTTACGTACCTTGAATAATTTTTAACAATTTGTCTTTATTAAATACACTTAAAACACGTTTGATAAGTTAACGTGATAACAACCACATGGGCACAATTCCACGATTTAACCATGGCCTGGAATCTTATATGAATGACTTGGTTCATTCCCCCATCACTTTGACCCCAGCGAGTTAATAAAGAGAAATGACAGCCTATCTCTCTCACGAAGATTTTAACCAATCATAAACCAAATAAAATAATCAAACGAAGCAATAAGCAATGTCAATTCTGTCAATCCAAATTAATGACAGATCTTCCGTTTGTTTACAAGTTTTCAATTTTATTTTATTATCTTTAACTTTCGTTTGCATTTATTCTTAGTAATTTTAATTTAAATTTGGTTACTTAATTTTTAAAGTTTATTTTGAGTTACCTATTGTAGCAAAGAATTTTTGTGTTGTGCTAGTAACAAAACATGGTGAATTATTGTATTGTTCGTTGTGTACAAATCATGGAAAAATTACAAAAAGAATGATAGTAAGTTGTCAGAAAGCAAAAAATAATAGTATTTAACTTCTGCAAATATGTGTAATAAATATTATGTAATTATTTTATAACTGTTTTATCTTAAACAACAAATAAATATATACGTATATCTAGAAAAAATTGTGCATCTTATATCCTTATTTTCCAATAAATTTTAATTAGTAACGAAATAGCCCACAAGAGGCGCTAAAGGGGTGTTCATTCGAATTTGCCGCCAAAAGATGATTAGTATTGACCCCAGCCGCAAGGGGCCTAATGAACGAAATTTATACATTGAGTTGCCTATCTATTTCTACTATTATATTATTTATCTATGGATTTAACTACTACTTTCTAACGGTTGGCGCAAAACGCAGTTGGCGCTTTTACCGTAGTGGGAGTCTTATGCACGGAGGTAGCTTGTTTTTGGGCGGGCTATTTGAAAGCTTTACGATAAAAATTAGGAGTTATCGGTTTGTTAACTGATAGATAGCTGGGTAAAGAAAGCAATAAACAAATAAAACGATTTTCGAAAAAAGTGGAGTTAGCTTGTTTGCAGATTAAGCCATCGATATGAGTGTGTCAAGGTTATTAAAAATAGACAGGTTGTCTGGTAACTTTACACCAATCAGCGTCGAGAATCTAACGGCGGGAATGACGTCACTGAGAATGCTACATTCAAATTAATTCACTTTACTCCTTGAAATGAACACGAAAAGCAACAATGATTAATTACTGTTAAACTGGGAATAAGCCACAATTAAAGATAAAAATACGTTTATTGACGTTTCAGCTTTTCAAATAGCTTCAGAACAATATCAACAATGATTGTAAATATATCAATCTATGTATATCGAAAAAAATACGTTTGGACTTTTAATAACTATTTATTGCATTCCATCTTTAAAAAATGTGGGAGATAAGTACCTGCAGAGTTACAGAAATCATAAATTATTCCAGCTAAACATATGTAGTATGTTGTTTTTACGTTTACTAACCTTGTGTGTGTATGTTATGTGTTTCCTTCTAAAACATGGCGCGCGTGCTGAAAAACTTCAAAGGCGGCATATGAGAGTGGGCATTCTGATTGTTTATTTTTCTGTGCTAAATGGTTTGAGCGATCTGACGCTATTGCCAAATCTATCCGCTAACCTATCAAATGGGAATTGCCAAAAATTTTCTAATAATATTATTAAAAAAGAAATTTCAATTAGTTTTAAAAGAAACAAATATTAATTCATCAATGTTTTATAAAAGTTATAAAATTGCAGAATCCATAAAATAATATAATAAAAATGTACGTTTTTAAAAGCTTTCTCTTTGTATTTGAAGCATATAACATATACATTACAAGCACGGCAACATTGTCAATGCAACCTTTCGTTCTATGAAACTTTATTGACAATTCATTTGAGGCTATCTTCACTGGGACCAAATGTTAAAAAAATCCCAATTTAATGAGTATATACCAGAATATAACACAAGTAAAAAAACAAAAATTTTAAAAATTTTGATTTGAATCTCCATTCTGTACATTATTTCTCTACAATCTCTACTAGTGAGATACCGAAATTTTATAATCTATGGTTAACATGGTGGAACAGATGCCGGATAGATGTCGCTATGACCAGAAAGAACAATATTTGACTTTGACATTTGTTTATAGGTTAAAATAAAATAAAACATACAAATCATAAAATTTTATACTAAAATGCTAAAAGATGGATACAGAAGAGCAAAATATTGAAAACAATAATAAGATATTAAGTGTAGAGGATCTTAATATAGACATTTTACCGATAATATACGATATTATTAAAAGGTAAGGTTAACTTATTATGTAAACATGTATTTGACAATATAAATATCAATAACTTTCATTATCAAAGGTAAGGTTAGATTATTATATAAATCAATTTTTTGACAATTTAAAATGTGATTAAATTTTTGTAGTGTCGAGAAAGACAATCATCACGATAATACGGCAAAGACAAGGGATTCACAAGATTGCTCTCAGAAAGTTTTAGAGCTACAAAAAAGACTAGATCAAGCCAGAGCTGAGGTAAGATAAATAATTGAATGTTTACAGTATAAATTGACTTTGTTTTTTTAAGATCCGGATGCTTCCAGGCATTGATTACAGTAAAGACCAACAGTTAAATCACCTTGAAGCACTTAAAACCCAACTAAGACTTAAACAAGAACTACTACAGAAATACCGTTATATGTACCCATTTGAAACACAAAAGTCATAAAATGGTGTTTCGTTTCATAATCAGATTATTAGCTAACAATGAACACTTGGTTCAAAAACTTAGTGAGTCATATCCTATGCGTAGAGCTGCACAGTTAGTAGTAAGAGTAATGTTTACTGGCAAAAACTTCATAGAAGAGCAACGACTCCATGAAAAACTAAACCCTGAACAGTTTAGAGCTCTCATGAGAGATGTAAGTGCCAATTTTCAAAATCGAATCAAGGAAGCTCAAGATACCATCCGTAAGAAAATGAAATAGTCTCAAAACCTACTTAAATTAAATTTTTAGTAATAATCTTGTTGAATTTATTTATTTAGAAATGTATTCATTTATTGCTATTTTTTTTACAAAATTATGTACCAATAAAATTTTAATCTCTTATCAACTTATTTTTCTTAAATCCCAAAAGCTGTTTTACATGTAATGTATTAAAGATTTTTAATAATACAGCATGAAAATATAATGAAAAATATTTATAATTATTATTATTAGTTCAATTTACTATTTTTGTTGGGAATAAGCCACAATTTTACTTTAAAATAGGTATATTGCATTTGCTATAGGGAAATTTATATAAAATATAACATGGTATAAATTTTGTTCTCTGAATTATCAAGTAGAATATTCAAAAAATTGAAGTAAGTATTTATTCTTGGGGACAAAATGCTGAAGCATTGGATTGTTTATCCCTATATCTGTCTATATTCACTTTCTCTGACCTGTACTCATTTCTTCAATTGTCTTACCTCTTTTTCTGTCAAATTTCGTTTATTCCATTCATGCATTTTTTATTTTGTCCTTATATTGATTTTGTCCATTATTGTTATAAATAATAATGAACTTCACTATCTCTTTGTTTTATACATTTTTGCATTTCAAAACTTTCAGATAATTTTTGGAAGCACAGCTTTCTTATCGCAGGCTATGGATGAAATGCATTGACCAGTTGGTGGATCATGTAGAGGTATGAAAAAAATAAAAACACCTGAAACGCAAAACTGTAACAACATATCATGTAAAACACAATCCCATGCATGTTTCTTAATAAATTAAATATAATTAAAAACCATCATTCCATGCATAGATGATAAGAAAGATATGCTTTCATCATTCCCAGAGTGCCACATCCCGTTTTTCATTTAGTAAACAACATAAATGATCCTAGCATGTAAGAATATAACTCCATGAAGAGTAAAACATATTGGGATGGCATAAGAAAACTACATATATAAATCATTTAGACAACAAATTTCAGAACTACTATATGAAAGTATCAATGGTGTTGGCTTCTGGGTTTCAAAATCTCTTTCCTCCGTATATACTGGGATATCAAGCTATCAGTGATCGTATAATTTCCTTAAAACTAAATGGATCTCCCTCTATTGTACATTTGATTCAGGTCTATGCGCCTACCTCAACTGCTGATGATGATACAACTGAATCTTTTTTCAACGAGCTGGAATCATATCTGCAAAATATCCCAAATAAAGAAATCGTCATCATCATGGGTGATTTAAACTCAAAAATCGGTGTTACTATGGCTGACGAACATATACGAAATATTGTGGGTAGATATGGAATAGGTGAACGCAATTCAAGGGGAGACCGCCTTATCCAGTTCTGCGTTGACAATGACTTGACAATAATGAACTCTATGTATAGGCACCACCCCAGAAGATTGTACACTTGGATCTCACCTAACGGACGACACCGAAATCAGATCGATTACATAATGATTAAACATCGCTGGAAAACATCTATTAGCCAATGTAAAACACGACCTAGCGCTGACTGCGGCTCTGACCACCAACTTCTTGTTGCAACGCTAAAGCAAAAATTCAAGGCATGTGCTAGGATCCGAAACAAGAGGATATCAAAAATAAAAGATACACAACAATTTAAAATCCAATGTAATGACAGATTCGAAAATATTTTGCCAACTATCGTCACTCATGATTCCGAAAAGATTTGGTTATCTTTTAAAAATACCTTGATACAGACCTTGACTGACTGCCAGGCACAGTCTAATGCCGTCTCAACCGGACCAAAAAATGTGTGGATGTCTGCAGATACTTTTGACCTCGTTGAAGAACGTAGAAAACTTAAAATTGCTGGAATCGAGAACCCTCTCAGGAATTCCCAGTACCGACAGCTATCTAGAGCTATTCAGGCTGCTTGTAGACGAGACAAAAACAAGCATATAGAGAAAATCTGCAGAGAAATTCAACTACACGCCGACACAAATAACACCAAAGAACTCTTTGATAAAGTCAGACAACTCACACGTAAATTCAAGCAGAAATCTTGGTCTATCAAAGATGATGAAGGTAATGTACAGACGGATTTGGACAATGTTATTGATGTTTGGAGGGCGTATTGTAAGTCTTTATACGCCAATACGGACCAGATGCCAGCGGACGCCCCGTTTGTACCTGACTGCCAGACCTCCACTTTCCATTCTCCTTCAACAGAGACACACCACACTAGTTTTGAGTCTGAACCTGACATACTTTTTTCCGAGGTGGAATTCGCTTTAAAAAGACTTAAGTTAAACAAAGCAGCAGGATATGATCTCATTACTGCAGACGTCTTGAAGCATCTTCCGGAATGTGGAGTGAAAATATTACATCGATTGTGCAATGAAATATGGCACACAGGCGTCTGGCCTGAGGATTGGGGAAAGACCATAATCATACCTCTTCATAAGAAAGGTTCAACAAATAATTGTAACAACTACAGGCTATTAGCTCTAATATCACACGCCAGTAAGGTGATCCTCTACATACTGCAACGGCGTCTAGAAAACTTCATAAGTTGGCAAATAGCACCTGAGCAGGCTGGATTTGTAAAGGGCAGAGGTACTAGAGAACAAATCCTTAATGTACGAAACATCATAGAAAAAGCCAGAGAATACCAGATCCCGATATTTATATGTTTCGTCGATTATACAAAGGCCTTTGATAATGTTAGATGGACAAACTATGGAACATATTGACGACAATGGGTGTACCTAAACACTTAACTCACCTTATTAGCAAACTGTATCAAGATAACCTGGCATATATTCGAATGGACGGATATGTCTGACAAATGCACTTTGGAGAAGGGAGTACGCCAAGGATGCGTTTTATCTCCCTTATTATTTAACATCTATTCGGAGTTCATAATGCGCAGAGTTTTGGATGGTTGGGAGGGAGGAGTAAACCTAGGTGGTGTTAAGATATCTAACTTGCGTTTCGCAGACGACACTACACTTCTAGCCTCTACTCCAGAAGAAATTATTAAAAAAAACTCAAGGTAGAAAGTGCTAAATTTGGACTCATGATTAACTACAACAAAACCAAAATCATGGTTATTGATCGCCAACAACAGTTTCCTGAAACCCAAACTATTGCGGGATACGAGGTAGTCTCATCTATGATATATCTTGGACCTCTAGTTAACAACACAGGCAGTTGTGAATCCGAAATTAGAAGACGCATTCAACTAGCAAGAGCAGCAATGAGTGAACTAAACGGGGTCTGGCGTGATCGTCACATTACTATGACAAACAAAAAGAGACTCGTTTCAACTCTGGTCTTTTCCATATTTTACTATGCATGCGAGACGCTACATATGGTGGGAAAATAGTCCCAATGATACCAGCAGCAGCAACAATTACTGAAATCGAAGTCGGCATTTAACATGAGTATGAGAAGGCGCTTCATATACTCGGGTTAGTGGTACAAGGTATCGCCTATAATATAAGTATGACGAAATGACCTGCATTACTTGTTCTAGGCAAACACAAAACGGGGGCCAGCAGTCCTGACTTAAGGATCATAAAATTGAACCGCCCTATAAATGATGCAAGTATCGTGAGAGATATCGAGAGCCTACTGTCAATAATGGTCATTATTGGTCATCATACTGTCAATTGGGTGTCCACTTGGACAGCTGAAAAGGTTTTAAAAAATAAAGATCAATGTGGATTATACAGTTTATTCAACATAACCATATTTTTTTTGAACGTAAAGCATAATTACAGATATTTACAGTAATCAAAAAATAAATTATTAAAAAACTTAAAAGAAAAAGAAAATGCACGATAAAAATTTACATTATTGTCCTTAAAACATTATGTAGTCATTTTGATTTATTAATTTTTATAAAGCTACAGCGGAAAACTGAAAACTGTCAATGTTTTCTTTAAACTTGTCCTATTTATAATACTATAAATCTTTGAGTATTTAGTAAAATTCATTATCATTACAAAAAAAGTTAACCGATATATTAAAAATTAGTTGCAAAAGTTATTTCTACTCTAAATTTTGGGTAAGAACTTTTTATTTGGAATAGAAAACTTTACTATAACTACAGTATTCAAAATAGTTAGGGAAGTAATCTGTATCATTAACATTTTAATTAGAACATTACACTTATTTCAGAAAAGTTTCTATATGATGTAGCACTAGATTAATTTTACGATTTAGTTACCTATAATTCTCAAAGTCCAGACTGTTCTTTGATATTATAAATTGCGTTGAAATAATTAAATGCTTATTAAAATGGCATACCTCAAAGAGGTTTTAAAGAGTTTTTGATGTCAAGAACATATAAGGATCAAATTGATGTCCATGATAATCATAAATTGCAAAAAAAATGTATTCATCTGTTAATTATTATACATTTTTTGTAATGAAACTAGGCTGAGCATTAAATTAAACAATGTTAAATAGGGGTTCACCATAAATATTGTTCAGCAAAGATCAAGAGGGTAAAACAAGTGCCAAAGGGAACGAAGCAGAATTAGAACACATGAATGCTATTGTAACGCAAGCGTTTTATTATAGGACATCCTTTTAGCTTTTTATCTCTGGCAGCATATTTTAGAATGTAATAAAACAATTGTACAGTAGTAAATAAATAGTGTTAAAAAATTGAACATGACTTTAATTTCCGATGTATTATCATTTGGACAGGTTCTAGTTCTCTAAAACTGAAGTACAAAAAGGGCACATTTAGAATGTCCCTTTGAAGATGACCAAATAAACGACAGTGTGAAATGGTTTTTAACAAAATATTCTAACGTAAAACTGTTGTGAGGAGCAAAGTGTTCAACCAATGCACCCTTCCAATCATGACATATGGATGTCAAACCTGGACCCCAACCAAGGCAAACATGAATAAACTAGCCACAACAGAAAGAACAATAGAAAGATAAATGTTAGGTATACGACTGTCAGATAAAAAGAGAAACGACTGGGTAAGATCAAAAACAAAAGTCGAGGACATAACAAAAATTGCCAAACTTAAATGGAGCTTTGCGGGTCACACTGCTAGACAAAAAGACCAACGTTGGAATACTACAATACAACACTGGAGACCTTACGAAAGCA